ATATATATATATATATATATATATATATATATATATATATATATATATATATATATATACACCCAGTCAGCAAATTGAGCGCAGACTGCGCGCAGATTGGCAGCAAATTTGATCAAAAACCCATAGCAAAACTATAGCCATCTGTGTCTACATTAGGCTACGGTTTGGCGACATATCTTGCTCTCGGGAAATTAGTGCCAAACTTGCAGCAATTATCCGACAACAAGCTCTGCCGCATATCTAGTGGCAATTTATCTAGCAGCAAGATTTGATATAATAGATCCTGCATCAAATTTGTTATCTATTTGCCATCAAAAGTTGATAGCAAGCTCTGCTCGAAATCTGCTCGCGCAGATTTGGCTATCTTGGGTATATATATATATATATATATATATATATATATATATATATATATATATATATATATATATGGTGTATGAAAAGTATGGGACCTGTTAAATATCTCGAAAATGCAGCGTTTGAGAGAAAAATGTTTCATACAAAAGTTGTACGGTTTCAAAAAATGCATCAACTGGTGATATCAGTTTGACTTTGGGCGCAGTATAAAGGTGACCTCAAAGTCAACTTTAAAATGTTAAATAGAAACCCCAATTTTCTATTCAATATTCTTGTAACTTACCTCGAGAGTTTTTCAAAACACTACGATAAAATATTTTTTTATCAAGTACTTTTCGAGTTATGAGGCTTGAAAGTTACAGTACCACCGGCATTAGCATTATTTAAGATGTGCCACATAAAGATTTTATATGTGTGTGCGTGCGTGCGTGTATGCGTGCGAGGAACAATTGAATGGCCTCCAAGATCTCCCGATATAACACCACTTGATTTTTTTTATGGAGTTTCTTGAAAGACCGAGTTTATAAAACAAAATCCACAAAGAATTTGAAGAATTGAAACAAAGAATAATTGATGAAAGGAATTTGATAACCATCGACATGTTGAAAAATGTAAGAGAATCTTTCCAGTTAAGACTCATACACTGTCAAACGGTAGAAGGAAGACTGTTATAGTCTCGATTTTCCAAAAAGCCTCATAAGAGAATTGAGTGATGTTATACCTTGGAGGCCAATCAATTGTTATTATTAAACACTAATGCACGCATGCTCATGCACGCACGCACGCACGCTCACACACACACACACACACACACACATATATATATATATATATATATATATATATATATATATTCTCAATAACCAATTTTCAAATAAGTATAAAAATAATTGTTTTCAATTCATTCATTTAATTTTCATTTTTCTTTATTCGTTTTTTTTGTCTTTGTTAAGATGATCTGTTCTGAAATACTTTTTGTATTACTAAATCGTAATTTATATATTTGTGATTTAACGTAACGTAGTTATATTTTGCTACTTTACCATTCTCTTCATAAAATAGGAATATTTTCAAGTAAAAAACTGGAAAAGAAATTCGACACTTAATAGTTCAAGTAAGTAAGCTTAATATTTAGCAGTGAATCTTGCCTTGCGTACGATATTACTTAACTCCATCGTAATTTCTGTTTTAGTGATTCATCTATGGACCCTCTGAACATCACAGATACCTGTAACTCGGAATACTTCCTGGTTGAAGACATAGAATGTACACCGGAGTATGCCTCCTTGCCTAACAAAAAAAAGCGTCATATCACGAAGAAGAAAAAGCTGGTCAGCATGCCGAAGCAAGAGGATTATTATTCGAAGGAGGTGACGAGAGGACAGAATCTCATTCAGGACAAGGTCGAGCGGAAGAAGCCGGAGCTTCTCTTGGAGTGCGCTACGTGTGGCAAACGATTCAGCCAGAAGACCACCATGATAAAGCACATGAGCGAGCACAAGTACCAATGCCAAACCTGCTGCCAGAACTTTAGCCTGAAGCGGGATCTGAAGAACCACATGGAGAAGATCCACGGACCTCTTCTCTATTCGTGCAGTATTTGCGAATACAAGAGCAATAATAAGTGCACCCTGAAAGATCACTTCATACGAAAACATACCAGCGGCTTCCAGTACTCGTGTACAGTTTGCAAGAAACAGTTTAAAATTAAGAACGACCTGAAGCAACACATGAATCAAATGCATAGCGGCGACCCGCCCATCATCTGCAGCATCTGCGGCCACGCTTGCAAGAACGTGCCCGCCATCAAGGCGCACATGAAGTACCGACACCACAAGCCGGCTTACGAGTGCAAGATATGCAAGCGCGGTTTAACCACGCAAGAATATCTGGAGCAGCATCTGATCTGGCACCAGCGCAAGGAGAAAGTGGTCTGTCCCACTTGCGGCAAGACCTTCGGCCAGAAGAGGGACTTGGACCTTCACCTGAGGATCCATCAGGGTATCCGACCGTTCTCCTGTCCGGTCTGTGGCAAGACCTTCCCTCGGAAGACCGCGCAGGAGCAGCACATGCTGATACATACCGGAAAGAGGCCGTATATCTGCGATATCTGCGGCCAGACCTTCGCGCAGAAGCCAGGTCTCATCTGCCACAGAAAGCGTCATCCTGGACCGTTGCCGCCGTTACCAGTGGTGTCCATTAAGAAGATTATCATGGACTTCACACAGGAACTAGGTTTTAATTCTGCTCAACAGCAGGATAAGATAGCGTTTCATAATTAACTTTCGTATTTGATGATTACGATGTTGACTACGTGTGAGAGAGTTGAATCCGGCTTCGGATCCATGTCCAAAATTCACATACGACTCGACCGATCACGAAATTGGTTTGTGATTCTCGCGATTTTCCAATGTCGAAGAACGTCTTGAGACTGCATTGAAACGTTTGGAAACGATACAGCTCACAAAATGTGCTTCGGAATAATCGATGCGGGATTTATCTTGAAATGAATAGCTGAACTAGGACGATCCGCGTATTGGGACAAATTTTGATTTATTTTTTATTTTTTGTTAATATCAACCTGTGGAAGACACACGAGATCCTCTTTTACGTTACGTAATGTAAATGTAAGTATTCACCCAGCAAACACAGAACGTAACTGTAATATAACACAGGAGTAACATGTAATATAAGTGCTGTTATACGTTATTAATATTGAGGTTACTTAATTTCCTTTATAACTGCGATATAACTATGTTATAAAACTGTTATATTATTATGTTATTTACTGGTTAAGTTATACCAACAATACAACAGTAACATAACTTTAATATAACATGTTATATAAGAAGTTTAATGTTTGCATTACATTTCAGTTGTACAATATTTTTATACACAAATGTGAAATTATATTTTAGGTGTTTCTCATATATAAAATGTGATATTTTAATATATGCAAGGATCATTATCACGATATTGTAAAACTAGAGTTCTTACAAAAAGAGTCTAATCATAACTTTACTCTGTCAAAATATTGTGAGAAAAAAAGAAGGAATATTTTCTCTCTTTTGCGAGCACGTTGTAGGTTAAAATTTGATTACTGATACAATATCAATATTAATCGCATTGTTATTGTCATGTCAAACATTTACCAACAAATATCATAACATTTTTTGAACGATATAAAAGTATATTGTAAATATTATATACCAAGATATCGTTACGGCGCATCGGCATTACCAGTTCGTATGATCGTTGAAGTTAAGTATTGAACAACATGAAAAATGGGTGACCGCCTGACATAGGATCGAAACCACGCGAGTTTCACGAATAATTGAAATAATACGGAATATGAAATGTCAGTTTCTTTTTTATTATTTAGACAAAATAATCATACATTATCACTTATCTGAACCATACTAATGAATAAATCGTTAGAATTCAACAAAAAAATATATATGTTAATTTGCTAACGAATAACATATATATCTTATATAACTTTAGTGACATGTTACTTTTATGTTATATTCACGTTATATAACTGTAACACGTGTGAGTAGGAAATTATAACGAACATCTATATAATTTATCACATATATGTTACATTGCATGTTACATTCCGTTTCATTACGGCAATGTAACTGTTACGAGGGTGGTCTGAAAAGTTTCCGACCTAACAAAGATACAAGTCATTTTTTCTGAAAATTGTTTTTTATTTTTCAACATAGTCTCCTTGTAAATCTACACACTTCTCCCAGCGATGCTCCCATCTCTGTAACCCGTCGAAATAGTACTCGGCGTTTTTCTCTGCAAAATAATTGTTCACGAAGGTGATTGCCTCTTCATTTGACGAAAATCTCTGTCCTCCGAGCGCAATTTTTAGATGAGGGAACAAAAAGAAGTCGCTTGGGGCTAGATCTGGTGAGTAAGGTGGATGGTCAAGCAGTTCAAACCGTAATTCGTGGATT